ATTAGTGTAGAGATTAATGCCTTCAAAAGAGGATTAGTCTAGATTAGAGTTCCAAGTTAAAATGTTTGAGATCATGTGATTGCTTGTTATGTCTTTCTGTATAAGATTCAGTCTTCTTGGTTGAGAGATTGTTTGGTAACTTATTAGGCTTGATGCATTATGCTTGTTGATTGCTTGATTATATCTAATGGTTGTTAGACTTGATTAAGTGATTAGCAAAGAGATTATTGTCATGGGAATGAATTAATCTGATTAAGAAGCCTACACTAAAGAGTAGTAAGTGTTGCACTATGTTCTTAGCATCATGAACCAATATCTAAAGCATCCTAATCAATTATCACATCTAGAGGTTTAGCTTTCATCATTTGCTTTATCATCATTACTTTGTTTTGTTTGCTTTGCCTAGTTCATTAATCTTTGTTTGTTGATTAATTGTTTATGCTTTCTTGTTGCTGGTTTCACCAAACTCATCTTTTATTCAGTTTGACTTAAGAACTTGTCACATAAATTAGTGTCTAGCAAACACACTTATGGATTGATACCCTTTGTACTACAAGTGACATAAGGCATTGATAACCCCTTCTTAAGACCTTAAAAACCTCTAGTTATCACTACCCGCGGCCCATGGACGTTTTCCCACGGTCGCGTCTCTTGCAGTCAAGGCCAACCGGAAAAACGTTCCAAAACAGCCCCGTTCAGCTTATACAAGTAGTTGTGCGTCTGATACACCTCTTGGAATGAATAAACCCCTCCATCAACAACTAGTTTGCTCCATCAGCACCCAAAGATCTGAAGACGAAGACAAGTCATTGTCCTGCAACATGGCCTTGTCTTGTGAAGATGAGTATGAAGATGAAGAGTATGGGTTGTTTGTAGAAGATCCAAACGCAGGATATTCCTAAGAAGACAGTTCAGGAGAAATTCAATGGATGACCAACAACATCAGTAGGGAGAAGCTCATAGAGTTCAACAATATGGTCAGGTCATTTCCTGCTCACCTAAGCTTTGATGAAATCTGGAAGCTTGGTCGTTTGCAAGTCTTTTTCAGGTACTGTAAGGAGTCTAAAGAGGATATCCATAGATACTTTATGCGAGCTCGATACATGACATCACCAGAAGCAGCTGTCTATGCGATCTACCTTCAAAAACCTGAAGAATGTAGCCGCTACACCAACAAAATCAGCAAAGAGAAGCTCGATGAGTTCAATGAAGTGGTTTAAAACTTACCTGAAGGAATCACCTTTGCGAGAGCTTGCAAGGACTTCATGATAGGCCATTACTTCTGTGAGAGCAAGGAATCAATCCCTGAAATAGAAGACTTGTTCAATCATGCCAGAAGAGGTAAACCTGTTCGAACACTTCACAAAATCGAAGGTGCAGGTCAGTTTCTCATCTCATGCTCTATTAAAGGTGAAATGTTTAAAAACGTGCTTTTTGATTTTGGAGCTTGTCTTAACATGATGTCCAAGGCAATTGCTTTGAGACCTGGTATTAAACACCTGTTCAGGACTAGAGCAAAGATTATTCTAGCTGATGATTCCAATGCAACACCTCAAGGAATAGCTCATGACATTCTTTTGAGAATAGGAGATTGCATCGTGCCTGTCGACTTCTACATTGTCGAAACGAGAGACGCAACACATCCAGTGATTCTTGGATAGTCTTTTCTAGCAACTTCCGGAGCTATAATGGACTGGCCAAACCGGAGGATTTCGTTTGCTAATATCGACAAAGATGTCTTCACAGAAGCTGTCCCATACAACAGCAAAGCAGGAAAACGTTCTGCAACAGAAGAGTTTGAAGAAGAACTTTGGAATGACGAAGAACCTGCTAGGCAAAACAAGGAGATGTCGAAAAAGACTTGTCTCAGGACAAGATCTTCTTCATTGGACTAAGCCACGTCCAACACCAAAAGTCGAGCTAAACGACTTAAAACAGAAGCGCTTAATGGGAGGTAACCCATTTAGGTATTGTTTTCTTTAGGATTTTTCTTTCTTTTTATATTGATCTTTTTTTCTTTTCTTAGTTTCAGATGTTTCTCATAAATCAAAAAAGCCAAAAAAATCAAAAAACCAAAAAAACCAAAAAGAAGGATGGTCCCTGACTGCTCGGCCCAGCAGGAACCAAAGAGAAGCAGGAAACATACCGCGATATAAGCCCCTGCAGTCGCAGGCATTCTGACCGCGGGAAACACCACTTCGACCGCGGTCGCAAGACCCCAGACCGCGGCAGATGATCGTTCCGATGATACCCGACCCCAAACCACCCACTTCACCTCATTCCACCTCACCAAGCCCCACTCCACCTCATTCATCACTTCCCACCACCTTCCATCACCACCTATCACCTTCCCAAACCTCTTCAAATGGATCCGGTCCATCTCCACCAGCATCCCGGATCCAGGTAAGTTCTCTTTGGCCTTACCGATTCGATTATTTATGCATTTTTTTCATCCAATCTCGACTTGTTTCACACTGAGGACAGTGTGATTTAAGTCTGGGGGAGGATTTTATCCCTTTCTAACCACTTTTCTTTCATGAGTCTTGCATTATCCACATCGGGGCACAGAGTCTGAACCACACACCTCTTCACGGCCGCAACGAAGAAGCTCCCCAGTCTCTCAACAACAACCTACTCCAGTCTCTCAACAACAACCTTCTCCACGCTGTCAACAACAACCATCTCTTCAATCTCACGAGCAAGCTTCTGATGCTCAAAATTGTCCATCTGAAGGTCACAATGTATATGCAGAAGAAGAAGAAGTTTTATTCATGGGGAATCTCGCGGAAGACCAGCACCGAATTCTCAATGCCTTGCTTACTCAGCTTAGCAGGGAAGCATATACCACAGTCCTCTCTCCCATAAAGAAGCTGAACACAACATGGTATGAATTCAACAAACCTAATTGCATAGTTTATGGTACTACAAACCTAATTGCATAGTTTATGGTACTTAGCTTAGAATTGTTATGATTGTTTGAGTCTTGAGCGTAATGGACTTGGTCTATGGATTGTTATTAACTGTTTCTTTGCGTACCTTAGTATTGTTATGGATTGTTGATAACACCGTACTTTTATGGAACGATTTGAAATATATTTTCTATGTTTTTTATTGCTTTCAAGTACTTTTATTACGTTTTTCTAGTATTTGTTGTTCCAAGACTCTTTTCAGGAAACTTAGGGAAAAGCTTAACAAAATGGATAGAATACCAGATTTTTAGCTCAGAGTCAAACCGTCAGAAGTTCACCCCCGATTGAAGGCCTTCTCACCGTCTGATCCAGCTCAAATTTGGAGATCTCAAAGATGGAAGTATCAGCTTTCCAGCACACTTTACAGCTTGGCAATCCAATGGTTCAATCAAAAGATATACGAAGAGCAAGATGTCCCGTAAACCAGCGGCAAGCATTTTCCACCTGCGGCCAACATGCCATTCCCCGCGGTCACAACCATCCGGACCGTGGCCAGCCATCCATTCCCCACGGTCACGCACATCCCGACCGCGGCCAGCTAACTCCGAGTTCGGAGGCCCATTTATGAAGCCCATATCATTTTCCCAGCCTCAATTCCGGAACCCTAGACACCAGAGAGTATTGAAGACTATAAATACATATCATTTAGGTCATTTTTAAAGAGAGAAGAAGAGAGACAAAATACTTTACAGAAATTTTACTTTAAGCTTTGTTTTTAGGTTTTAGGGAGAGAGAGATCTATCTCTTGAATCCTTGTTCTTTGTTTTTTAATTTCGGTTTCTGTACTACTTTTTAATACCATGTTTTTGATTTCGTTTATCATGTCTGAGTAGTTTTATTGTTGGGTCTAAGGGATTTTCGATGGGGATACATATGTTCGATGAGGATTCCATGAGCTATTGAGCCGAAACTTAGAACTTTTTCTTCTGAATTCGTTTTTACTGCATGAGAGTAGCGTCATGAACTACAATCTGATCCAGATGCTTGGTGACACGAAAGTGTTCATCCGGTGTCAGATCTAGTTTGGGAGAGCAAAACAAACATAGGAGTGGAAACCTACCTATGGGCGATTTGTGAATGCTGACGAGTCTTAAACATAATGCATTTTTTCTCTTCTAGGGCCAGAGTGGAAACCTACTGGTCAGGGTTGAGAGATAGTTATCTATGATCACGACAGTGGCGTATTCATACGTCCGTGACTCCAGTTCGAAAATTTTAAGCTAAGATCTTATCAAATTTACTCTCTAGCAATGTTTTGCATCGTTCATACCTCTGAGAAAACTTCCTTGAACCCCAGCGCCTTCTTTCCTATAGATTTACACCGATTGTATTTCAAGCTTTAGTTCATCCTTTTCATTCTCTTAATCGATTTTCATTTAAGCAATTAGGTTTAACCGTTTTTCTCGTTTTTAGCCGTTTTCGTTAAGTTTAGTTATTAGGTCATTTTAATTACCGTATTTTCTCTTTAAGATTCGTTTTTACGTTTTAAACACACCACCAAAACCCTCACAAAACTCGCCTGGTTCTAGATTTTCTTAGTTTATATTTCTTTCGAAGGCTTTTGAAGGAAAGATCCTCCTTCCCTGTGGATTCGATCCCTAAGTACTACAATCAATCAGCTGTGCACTTGCGGCTATTGATTTCATTTAGGGTAAAACTTGACACCCTCATCGCAGACCACATCAATTGTAACTGTTTCTTTGCTTTGTTCTGTGTTTGCAGGTTTGGGCGTGACAAGTCTTCCCTTACTCGGAAGATAACAAATTTTTTTACAAACAAGTTTGATGGTCCATTCTATAGCTGGACATGTCTGCCTCGGGAGGGACAGGAAAGATACTTTGTTGAATTTGCGGTAAGGTTCTCTATCCATATTCTCCTTTTTTGTGTTGATACATATGAGGCATTTTTTTTTAATTGCTTACTAACATCATCTTCTCTATTTTTTTGTAGAAAACCCACACCTGGGATCCTTTATTAACCGGTGTGGTTCAAGAAAACTTTGAGAGAGTATATCTACTCCGGATGAAAGACATGGTCAGCATGGCTAGGGCTTCTCGAGAACAACCGAACTGGATTGGCGATACTCTTTGGAAACAAATGACAGAGTATAGGGACACTGAAGAAGCCAAAGAGAAGAGTGCCACCACATCAGCTGCCCAGATGTCTGAGCGTAATGGACTTGGTCCTCATGTTCAGTTCTCAGGGCAGAAGTCCTGCCTCCAAATCCAACAAGAAATGGTAAGTAAATCAATTTTTAACTCTTTCATAAGTTAAATATCATCTTTAGTAAGTTAGAAATGATGGGAAGTAACTCTTTCTTTATATTGTTATCATTTCAGGAAGAAGAGCTGGGAAGACCGGTGAGTCTTGGTGAAGTTTTCATCAAGGTTTATACAAAACCAGATGGAACATTTATAGACCAAAAGTCCAAGAATGTGGCTGAAGCATATAGGAAGAACCTGGAATCCAAGTTGGCTGACCTCGGGATAGACTCAGAGACTTCAGATGGTACTTCACCATCGTTGGGGCTATCTGTAGAAGAGGAGAATGAGATTTTTCTTCAGGTAAAGTCTTCGTTTTTTTATTTATGTTGTGTTTTTTTCTATTATTTTTTGCTTCTATAGATTTCAAGTTGTTACTTTGTTTGATGCTTTGATGTTACTATATGCATTGATGCTTTAATCCTTATTTTGTTTTTCCAGTCGACTTTCATAAATAAGCAAGGAGTTTGTTATGGAATCGGAAGCCTTTCAGAGACGCATGTCAGTGGAAAGAGGAAATGCCCAGGAAGCTCTTCAACATACAAGGGATTGGAAGAACAGCTACAAAAAGCTCATCGCAAAATGGAAGAACAAGCGGCTGAGAACTCCAAGCGTGAAGCAGAGCAACAAGCCAAGCTGGACAAGTTATCTATGGTGGAAAGGTATTTGACTGAAACTGATCCAAAGTTCATGGAGTTTTTGGCTGCAAATCCAACTCTTCCAAGTGATCCAACTCATGCAGCTACAAGCTCTGATCTGACCCCAAAAACATAGGATCTTCTACGTCTCTTTTTTTTTAAGTATCTCGGCTCTTAAGACTCTTTTGAACTTATCTCAATGGTTAAATATGCAACCATTTGATCTTTGGTTTTAGTAACTTTTTGAACAATGGTTGTAAGTCTCCTTTTTTAAACAATGGTATTATGTAGTTTAATGACTTTTTGCAGTTTACATTTGAATGACTTCTTTTGCTGTTTAATTGCTATTTAAAATGTAGAAGTGGATTCAAATTATCAGATTAGGAGGAATCAAATCGTAAAACTAGATTTTGTTTTCATTTATTAAAACCATCGCAGTGCAGTCGTAAATCAATCGGAACATAGTCCTAAATTGGTCGCAAAACAGTCGTTAAATTGCACCAAATACCATTCAATTATCGAACCATATGGTCGCCATTCAGCGTAAATATGTCGAAATAACAGTCGTGATTCAGTCGCTAATCTAATGACTGAGTTGCGACTGATTCACTTCGTCAACAGTTAGTCGTTATTCAGTTGGTATTTGGCGACTGATAAGCGACTCAATATTAGCGACTGATGGTATTATCGGAACTCGGTCGTAAAAGTGGTGTTAGCGACTAATTAGCAACTGTATATGAGGTCGCTAAATCACTGTTTTCTTGTAGTGAATTACTATATTTATTTTTTTATACTTTTTCTTCTAAGGTTGCCCCGAGATAAATATGTTCTTATTCCTAACGACGATGATTCGGGTGTAGATTCCAAAGGTTCATTAAATGATGAATTGTTTGGAACTAATATTAGGCGAAGTTAAGTTCTATACTTTCGATCGATACGGTATGTGAATATGTGATACTCTAGCATCGTTGTTTTAAAAAATTTCTGTATCTGTGATTTTCATTGATTGTTTTGAATTAGCAGGTTGGTAAGTATTTGACATTGGCGACTAGACGCTCGGTTGCCAATAATAATTCATGGTATTACATAGCATGCAAGAAGTGTGAAAAAAGGTTCATTCGATCCCTGACAGAGAAAATGCTCATTCACCGCCGCTTTGGAAATGCATTACTTGCAATAGCAACGTTTCTGAGTCTCATGTTGTTGCTAGGTATTCAAGTTTTTATTCAATAAATTCGACATATACATGTTTTTATTAATCGCTAGGTTATACATTTATTTATATTTGTAAAACTATATGTCTAATTCTTCCTTTACAGTTTTTTTTCTGATGTTGTATGTTGACGATGGGTTTGGAGGGATAGCGGTCTTTGTCATGTTCGACAAGATTGCTAACAAAATGTTTAAGAGGACTGCAGAGGAAGTTTTCAAAGAATCAGTTGGGGTAGACCTATAGTTTTATTTAATGAGCATTATGATTATCTAATTTATTTTAATTATTCTCAAAATATTGCGTAGGACAATTCGTATGAAATGCCTTAATCCCTGCGCGATCTAAAAGGAAAAGAGTTCTTTTTCAAGGTTACAGTAACCGAAGATAACATCAAGAAGGTTAAGGCTTCATATTCAGTTGACAGGTTTACATCCGATGACTATATGATTGAGATGTTCTGTAGTCAGGTCTATTCAGAGGTTTGCTTTCGATTCTTTATTTTGTTTGAATATTTAGTTATGTAAATATAAATAACGGATCGCTAATTTGTTATTTTTATTTTTTTGTAGCCTCCGTTTTTGAAATCTTGTGATGATGAGAAAACAGAAGCTTCTATCGAGAAGACTGTACCTGCATCTTCTAAAAGTGATTGTGATGCTCCTAATGTCATTGCTAATGTAAATGTAGAAACTTTTATTGAGAAGACTGCTCGTGCAATTTCTAAAAGAGATCATGATGATCCTGATGTCATTGCTACTCCCGTCAAAACATCTGCATAAAGAAGGAGGGAGGGTTCTCTGTCATAGGAAGTTTAGCGATAAGGAGTTCGTTATTATATTATCCTATACAATTTCAGGATTAGAGTTTTGTTAGAAAATTTTCTATTGGGAATATTGGTGCTTTACCCTTATGGTAATTTCATTTGAAAAAACTTAAATATTTCATTATTAATAGTTGTTCCTTTTTTTAAAAAAAAATAACAATTTTTTATATTCAATTTTATGTTTACAAACGTCATATGTTATAAAAATACGTGTTTATGCGGATCATTGTTTTGATTCGTTTAATATTAGTAATGGTTATCATGGTTGGTATTAAGTCGACAGTTAATTTGTTATAATGTTGTATATGATATTGATAGTTAATTTATTATAATGTTATATGTGATATCGGGAGTATAATCAATAGACAATTTAAAAGATTATTTTGTAGTTTTGGTTTATCTCTGAATAAATCTATCAAACGTGCTGGAAACGGTCGTTACTCTAAGAGTTGATTTTATCACGGCCCGATTAACGTAAATCTAAACTTTGTTCATGTTTTTCTTTACAAGTATCAAAACTAATAAATTGTATATATATATATATATATGCATATAGTTAAAAAAATTATCGTGATATATTTACGATGATCGTAATATTTTTATAAATAAATTATCCAGTATTTATAGCAAACGAATTTTATATTCACTTTTAATGGTACTTGAAAATCCTAGAGAATATTTTTTCTGGTATAGTTACGTGTGCGTATAGTTAGAAAAAAATAAAAAATCTAATTATTCTAATAAAACCCTAGAATAGTGGGTTATATATACATGTAGTGTCATAGTTGTGATTTACTCCCTTCTGTTCTTCGAGATTTTTCCTTAGACTTCTACAGGTACGATGTATATTATGTATCTAATTTGATATTGGTTTTTGTTTATTAAGTTCCACTTTCTTCGTTATAGTTATTGGTATCTTTAATCTAATTGTGTTTTATAGGTGCAAGTAAACGTAGAAGCGTTAGTCCGAACGTGTTGCCTTTCCATCTTCTTGAGTCGGAGATTGTGAGGTTTGATGATGGCGAAAACCCTGGCTCTATTGGAATATCTAAGTTCTTGGCTTGGATGAACTGCGACAAAGAATCTTCGGAAGCTAGGATGCTTTTGTACTCAGAAATTCCAACTGAATTTGTTTGGGATCATAACGAAAAGTTATGAAGACGAGGTGTCATTGTTAATATGGGAGTCAGCATTATAGCAGATAGTTCGGATGGATCTGGCGAGGCTTATTATCTCAGGGTTTTGTTGGATGTCATAAAGGGACCATGTTCTTATGATGATATTAGGACTGTTAATGGTATCGTGTACCCTACCTTTAAAGATGCATGTCATGTGATTGGACTAGCCAATTGATAGTTTTCATAAGTTATGATTTAGGGTTTCATATGTCGTAATTTTTTTTTAAGTTTTAATTTAGATTTTTATATGTTGTAATATAATTTTTAAAAATATATTCGTATCAATTAATAAAATTTTAATATATGTATTTTTATCAATAAAATTTCTATAGTTTACTGTCCTTTAAGAAGGAAATTATGGCATTCAGATTGCGATAATGTTAAATTATTAATGTTTATATATTGATTACTTGCAGATTATTTCCTCAAGGGATAAATAATTTATAATAAAGCAATATGTTATCACAAAATTGTAAAATATACAATATGATATCTGAAAATATAAAATATTTGATATATCCTTTTATTTTGAAGTGTATAAATAGTAAATAAGATTTGGTTTAAATATTGTCTCTGGTGTGTTTATTTAAACCACTTTTACTAGCAATCGTCGTAATTCTATTGAGGCTCTAGATTTGCATATAAATTAAATGACTTATTTCCTATCTGTCGCCGTACATAAAAAATATGATCAAAATCTGTTTGGGATTTCCGAACTTGATCCTACTAAGCATATATGAAAGACTAAGTTGAAAATTTTGCGGAAATTTAATAGATTTTCCGAGTGTGACCGCACGTTAGACTTTATAACGGGGGACTGGAAGGTATAATCCATAAATTTCATGATTTTATTTTAATTTTTGTAATGATAAATGTTTGAATGTTAGATTCTTTACTTTCCAGGGACAGAAAATTTATGTTACAGCACCGATTGAATTTTATGATAAATATTCGAAGAAATGTAATGAGAAAGATTGGATTCTTCTAATAAATTTTAATCTGTTGCCTCTTACCGGTGAGTTCAAGCCAAGTATACATCCTTATATGATCCAGCTTACCAGTGATACAACATGTGCAAGCTCCTATATTTTAGATATCAATGGTTATTTTTCGTTTGTCGTTTTCGAAGATATTATGAATGGGACTATTGATTATAGCTTTTGTGTGGGTGAGTATTCGGTATATCTTTTATTATTTATTTGGCATTCAATGACTATATTGGCTAATTGGTATTTTGTTTTAAAAAAAAAAACAGATTTAATCTGTAAACTTTTCAACGTTGGAAACACTCATGATAGAATTGGATCCTTAGGATGCTCTAGACAGTCGATAATAAGATCCGATCTCGATAACGAAAGGTAATATGTATACAAGTATCCCTTTTTGTTAAAAAAATTTCAAAAAATATAATTTTTTGTTTATCTCAGATTGATTTTTGTTTGATGTGAAACTTTAGGAAGCAGCGTTTATCATGCTTTCTGAAATGTGATTACGCTGAAAATTTTCTTCGTGAGTTGGGTGGATGTAAACAAGATGTCGTTATTTGCATCATTCGTTTTGCAAAGATAGTTGTTCGACGAGGTATTTTGTTAGTTTTTGATATGAGTTGATTGTATAGTATAGGTGATAACTATGATTTGGTTTTTGTTTGTTTGAAAATATATGGTGTTTCTTGGCTACTATGTCGTATGATTGCACATAAGTTATTCTAAATTCACGATACTTTGAAGTTTATCAATTTGAGAGTTGATATCCAGTCATTAGATCCTGATGTTACGAGTTCCGTGATAATGTTTTTGGAATTACTTTATATCGATTTTGATTTTAAATTTTAATGGTTTGTGATAGACATCGAATGTGTGATGAAGAAAATTTGACTTTTTTTTTCTATCGCAATGTATGAAAATTATAATTTTTTTTTCTATTGCCATGTATGAATTTCAATATTCCTAGCTATCCCAAAAACAATTGCGTAACGAAGTATAATCATCAAAATGATTACGTTACAAAGTATAATATTATTATCCATGAATTAAAAATAGATTTTGTGATATAATTTATCGATATAATATATTAAGTAATAATAGTTTTTTTTGGAAAATATTCGAGTTTTAAGTAATACAACAATAAATTTTACAATAACTATTCGTATTTTAAGTAATTATTTTTATTAGAAGAATATAATTACTGTTATGTCGAAGTATATTTTTAGGATTAGGTCTTCATATTGGAATGGTAAATATTTATTTGTAGGTTCGCATTATTGTAATGTAGAAGTATTTCAATAGTATTTTAATATTATCACGAAAAATGTAAATTTTCTAATATTGTAGTATTATGGTGCATGAGAATATGTGAATATTATCGCAAAGAATAAGTAATTTAACATTATCATGAAGTTTTTCTAATTCGAAAATCGTTCTAATTCGAAAATCATATTTTATTAAGAGAAGCTAAAATGTATATTTTTTTATTATAGCGTAATATAATACTATATATATATATAGTTTGTTGATGATTATGTATATTGATCACTAGATCACACAGTTTTTGTTTCCGTATTATCCATCAGAAGCTATGAAACGTAAGCTTGTACGTCCTCAGAAAAAGCTTTATGCGTCGTCGAGTCCTCCAAACAAATGTTAGACTGCAACTAAATTACGTTTTGAAAAAAATCATTATGTTATAAACTGTGCTTAAATTTAACTGGAATCTGTAGGTGGTAATGCTAAGAATGCACGATATGCTCTTACCGGTGAAACCGATATTGATCAGCTTGGAGGTTTGTTTCATCCCAATTTTGAAAACGTTCCTGATCTAACACCCCAGGGTATTCATAATGCACAACAGAGAAGAATGCGTATCATGCGTGAAAGGAGAAAAATAAAAGAAAATATTGGTTTGGTCTTCTTTTTGAATAATTACAATATAACTTAATATTATATACCTGTTTTATATTTATTATTTTTTGCGTGGAAAAAAATAGATTTATTGGCTAGTTCGATCAACAAGGAAGAGTTTGCTTGTTTTATTGCTACTGATTCTGATTCCGAGAGGGATAATGATGAAGACTCTATGTTGGAAAGAGAGATGTGGAAAACACGACTTCTGGTAATAAAAAAAGGGAAACCCCAAAAAACGTGCTAAATCATTCGATTCTTGTGATGAGGAAACAACCGAAATCATTGTTAGTAGAACAGAATTATTGGAAACAGTTAGCCCTGGTCTGAAAGATGGAGGTTATGGTTTTCATTAGACTCATATATTTCATTTAATATATATTTTATAAATATCATATAGTTAATACTAATCAATAAATTTTTCCTTACCTGGTTACTACGATGATGGTGATCCTATATATATATGTGGTCAGTGTAAGGCTTATATGTGGTATGGAGAAGGGTTGGGTAAACGATATCGATGTGGAAAGCCTATATTCTCCATGTGTTGTGGTCAGGGTAAAGTCGTTCTTCCACTTCTTAAAACCCCACCGAAATCGTTATTAGCATTGATGTACAATAGTGATTTGCGTGATCACTTTCGTGAGTTTATCCGGGCGTATAATATGATGTTTTCCTTCACTTCTCTTGGAGGAAAAAGAAATAAAAAAATCAACGACGGTAAAGGTCCTTACATCTTCCAGATGAGTGGGGAAAACTACCATTCTATAGGGGATATGTTACCAGCTCCTGGAAAAGAACCAGCCTTTTTACAGCTATATATATATATATATGATACCGCAAATGAAAAATCTAACCGAATACCTGCTTATGGGTATGATTATTGTTCCTCTGATTTATATTTAATTTAATCAATAGGATCAATTTTAAAAACATATATATATATATATATTTTAATTTAATGTTATGTGGTTCTAAATGTCATAAGACTCTATTTTCAAAATGTTTTAGGAAACAGGACCGACTGATAAATAGCGAGAAAAGGTAAATAGCTGACATGCATTCTTCCTATGAAGTAATAGAACCAGATGGTATAGATTTTAACCATCTAAAAGCTTTATCACTTAGAGAGAAAGGAAAAAGCTTACACTTCACATAGTCCACATTTTCTGGAGTGATTCTCACCATTCCACATATTTCTTCAAAGAGATCAATGTGGTCCATTGGATGCTCAGTATAGATTCCATGGAATTGATTTTGCTTCACTAGAGAGACAATCTGAGGTTTTATCTCATGATCTCTTATTGCTGGGTTATGAATTTGAATAGCTGACCTATTTTGGAAGTGTTGGTGAGGTGCATCAAAATCGGCAATGAATCTATTGCAGGGCTGTCTTCTCCAGGATTGGCAAGCTGTATGGGTCAGTTGGTTTCTCTACCATTTGGTGGAACAATGTTTTCATTATTCCTTTGTTCTTTGGGGTTGACCTGGTCTTCTCTCCTTCGGTTATCAGCGGCTTGAGCAGCATTTTTAGGGATCTGGTTTCCCTCTCCATTGAGTTGTGGCTGGCCATCTCCTTCATGGGCAGCATCTCGGTCATCATCGTGAATAAAATCACGGTCATCATCTCCAATGTGATCATCTTGATCACGGTTTAAAAGATCTTCCCGATGGGCATTCGGATTGGCCATCTTGAGCGTCATTTGTCTGAGTTTCCTAAGTGCCCTTTCGTGTTTGTCAATCTCGTCTAAGGGTGGTACAATGTTTGCAGGATTTCTCCTAGTTTTCATGCACCTGAGAGAAAATAAAACAAAGATAAAAAGAGAAGTTAGAAAATCTCCAGCAGAACTCGAAAATCTTGAGGTCTAGAATTGAAATTAGATTAAGAAATCAAGTCAACAGCGACAAATCCCCGGCAACAGCGCCAAAAACTTGATGTGGGTGCAGTGGGCAATATAAGTTTTACCATAGACAAGCTGCAAGTGCACATCAAATGCAGTAGTACTTAGGGATCGAATCCAAAAGGATTTGTGTGTTTAGGACTTCTAACTGAAGCTAAAAAACAATCGTTGACCTAATCAGATAAAAAAAAGCTTTGGTTTGTCACTTAATCTAATTAAGCAAAGAATTAAAAAGCTTGAAATAAATAATATTAGAAACGATGCTGGGATTAGGTTCATTTTTAGGGTTCATGTTCTAAAACACAAGGAGTTTCGGCAAGGATTTTCTGTGACTCTGAAACTAGGATAGACACTTGTAAGATTAGCCAACTCTTGTCACCCTAATCATCTAATCACTCATTCATGGCCATTAACTCTCGTTCTCATGCCATAACAAGATCATGCATTTCAGATCGGAATCCATCTCAGCTTACGTATCCTCCGTAGGTAGGTTTCGTCTCTTACGACGGTGATGTCCATAAGATCCAGTTCAGGTAACCCAGATACAACACTCTCGAGGCTTGGATTTAACCTAGGATCGGACTCTGGGTGATCAATCCAGAGTTACCGGTTTGAGATTTGGATGAATGGGAGAATCATGTAAAAATCGAAATCCTTTTTCCTAAAAACCTAGATGTCATTCAAACATGAAATCCCTTAGGATTTCCCCTTCACCCAACTCGGTGACTACTCAGACATGGCTGAATTAGACATCAACATCGGTTTAAGAACTAGAAAGAAGAAAAGTAAAGAAACAAAAGTTGCAGAAAAACTTCTCTTATTGAAGACAGTGTGGCGATGAAAAACTTTTACAGATGCATAAAAATAAAACCTAAAACTACAAATGAGTTCTCTCTCAAAAAGAAGAAAGAGGCCCTCTTACAAAAGACCTAAAAATTGAGTATTTATAGTGTTTCTTCAAGTCTGGGCATCTAGGACTTGTAAAATTGGTGCAGGAAGTTTCTTGGGCCTTATTTGGGCTCCTGAGGTTTGGACATAGGTCCGCCGGGGATGAAACAACTTGAGCCACAGTGGGAGCAAGCTTGACCGAGGGTGAAAGCTCCTGTCCTTAACTGGACTTGTGTTGATCGGCTTTCAATGCATTGATGGTATCTGGAGATATAACCGTTCGATTGCTTTGATTTCAAGTGGGTTGGAAAGCTGGTTGTCTCTTCTATAATTGCTCCAAATTTAGGAATGATCAGATGGTGAGAAGATCTTCTTTGGTTGAGAAACTTCTGACGGCCTGAATTTATCAAAAAATGTACATTTGCTCCAAAATGCACACAGAGCTCAAAGTTTCTTGAAAAGCCTTTTAAAACTCTAAAACATGGAAAACACCCATAAAACCTTTAAAATTGAGTGAAAACACCTGCATAAGATATTGAAAGTGATCCATAAAAGTGGTCAAAATCAGGTGTTATCATTATATATATTTAGAATTCGTCAGAGAAAAAAAAATCTAAAATCAGATTGAGTATGAGAAATTCTAAAGGTTAATGATTTATATTCAAATTTACGGTTGGGTTTATTATAAACGGATTACTTTAAATCAAACAGTGGAAATACTTATGTCATAATTTGTTTTAAAGCAATGATTATTATGGAATACGGAATCTCATTGATGTATATCATCACTGGGAAGAGTTACTGACTGTCATCATAAATTATCAATGGACATCTACCTACAATTGTCTTTTCCAAGAATTCATAGAAGCATTAAAAATCACGATAGTTATAGTTGGATATTCTACAAGATGGGTTCAATCATATTTCAACACAATGGTTGTTCATGGAATCAACAACATTTTTATAGATGTCTATATTCGTTTATGTTTAAATTTAGTTCATGGAATCAACAACATTTTGATGTATATCTAAATTCATTTATGTTTAGATTTATGTTTGCATAAGAGGCCTGGTATTGCTAAACTTATGGTTGAGTAATAGGCCCATTATATCTAAATTTATGTTTTTATATTACGTTATTAATCAACATCTAGAATAAATCATGTATTGGGTTACTAGAATCAATAACAATAAAAATTATTTCTAGTAACCAAAGCCGAGGTGTTGATGTCGAGGGCCTCATGCAAACTTGAGATGAAATGAAGAACTCACAAAAAACATGCATGAACCCTAGTCTTTGATCCATATTCGCGTGTGACCGTTAGAGCATCTTGTTCTTGATCTGGGCTCATGAATAGGTACCCTCGGTGTTGCTATGTCGAGGAATCAGGTCAAGGTTTGGCACATTTCATTCGGTAACATTGCACCTCGGTGTAGACAAGTCGTGGAGTTAGCTCGAGGTTTTGAGCATTTTGTTTTGGCAAGAAGTCACCTCGGTGTGGGAACACCGAGGGGCTTTGGTCGAGGGGTCATGTAGGAAGAGTCTGAGGTACAATGTCGAGGTGTTGAAGCCGAGGTCCAGTTTCTCACTTAGACAGAATTCAAACCAAACCGCATAAATACTCAGCTCAATACTTAGTCGTTTTTAGACTAGTGTCTTCAAACAAGCACACCTCGGTGTTGCATGACCGAGTAGTCAGCTCGAGTTTTAGACCAAAAAGCTTCGGAAATAGGCGCCGGTGTAAAAAAATGTCAAGGGAATAGTACCAATGCCTGCCGAAACACTTAGCACCAGGCGCATCTCTCAAAAACATGTATCAACCCACTTGTCTCTTGATCCAAATAACTCTCAGCTCATAACTCCAAATGACTTGAAACCAGTTCCTAGTGAAATACTACTCAATCATCTCTAACGTTGGTCAAGGACTCATTAGAATCCGGGGAGTGGAAGGTTTCCCGGACGGTCAATCTTTGAAATGCATCAGAACGATCAGAAAGAGGCTTCTGGACCTGTGTTCACTCTGGAAACGTTATCTCTCCTCAAATAGCTCCAAATCGGGTGATCTCAGGTGTTCTGGCAAAATCACTCATATATCTTGAATCTTGATGAAGGCCCTGGAGACTGAATCAGTCTGGAAAGGTATCGTCCCACGTACTCTGAAGCTCATCGGATCGGCTTAAAACGGAAGCGAGACAGGTGTATCTTCTGATGGCCTTAACTCTCTGCTCACTGATCCGAATTCAGTAATTGCAACTGTTCTGGAACCCTGACTCGATACTCTCCAGTTTTAATGAAGACCCGACAACTGAATCGGACCGGAAGCTTCCCTAGACTGGCAATCTTTGGCGCGTATTGGTGTAAACGGGTTTTAGCCAAGAGCTTAAGTACCGCGGTAAGAGAAATATCCGAGAAATCTTTCCC